TCATTCGCAGGTGGCACTCTATTCCTCATGAGAGTGGTTAGGTAGAAGGCAGTAGTTTGTGGAAGCACTTTTACAGAGTGACTGGGTCTTTAAGTTAGGATGTGTAACATTCATCTATTTCAAGGAATGATCCTACTGAGGGATAGCTACAGCTAAGGCAGAAGTAATCTCAGATAATCTCACACATTTAAGAGAAGTTTTCATGCAGACATCCAGTTATACTGTGCATGCATTTATTTGCTTATATGGACAATTTATAGTGCAAGTGCTTGTTTCGTGCAACTGAAAAGGTGTTTATGAGTGCGAGCAGTTACACTTTGATATCTTAAAGCTCATATGCCCGCTAGAACTGGCTTGCAGCTCTTTGTGGTGAATTCTCCTGGTGCTTGTGGCTGTGAAGGCTGATCGTGGTTCTTTGCCCTTTAACAAAATTCTACAAGCAGTATACAACTCCAGATATTTTCAAAACAAACAGAAAAAAACAACGTCTTATAAAGGTTTCTACAGGCCTTGGTGATGCTACACTGCCATTCCCAGTTCTGCTTGTAGGTACTTACGAACAGGATGCTGAATATTACCACACAATTTAAGAAATCTTTTCAGTGAAGCCCGATATAAAGCTTTCCAAATGTATCTTTTAAGTAACAGATGAAGAATAATAAATATATCTGCACATGTATTAGTTCATAGTTACATGGTTTTATCCTGTCCATCAATATGATGAATAAACTTTTATTCCCTATAAAAATCCTCAGTTTAATAATGCATCTAAATCTATTTAATTCTAAATTCTGAGGCCTTTGTAACACTTCTTGAATATTGGAAGCCATTGTGTCATTCTTATCTCAGTGCAAAGCAGGCCAACTGGAGTCCTCAAAAGTGCATCTCCAGTTCTTTCTCAATGTATTAAATTGAAGCTGTCCCTAAAGTTAATCTTTGCTTAAAAGTCGTAAAGCAAAATGCATCTAATTTCCTCCCTAAAGGGACCGATGAGTCAGCTTAGACATTTTGGGAAGATGAGGTCCCAGCCGTGCTCTTTAACCGCTGGTAGCTGTCATCATGAACAGACTACGGACTGCCTGCGGTTCCATCTAGAATGATCTGAAAAAGAATTTTTAAAAAATCTTGCTTATTTGAGCGTATTCATGTTTTGAAACAATCCAGCATTTCATAATACCAAAGCAGTAGGTTAAAGTCTGGATATGATCAGTTCCTGGTTTAGGTAAATATCTAACTAGATAACACAGAATTATTCACAAATATTTGAGCACGTGAATAGTGAATGAAGCTTGTGACCCTCCATGTCAATAAAGACAAGCACAAAAACACTAAGGATTCAGATGTCGAGATAGGACAATGTGTCTGGGATGCAAATCATCTCACTCTGTAAGGGGAACACTCTCTTAACACTTCATAATAGATGCTCAGTAAACTGTGAGAAAACCAGCGTATCTCCAGATAACTCATTGGTCATGGTAAAGTACCCAGGGGTGGTTTTGGTGTGCACTGTCTACGACTATGACTAATCTGCAAAAAGTAGATATAACTGACTAATGCCAGACACATAGTACCACTATCTCAGTATCTGCCTAAAAATTGCTGTTGCCATCTGGCCACTGCTAAACACTTACTAAAAGTTTTAAACCTCTTACAGGTGAAATGAAAGGCCATGAGTTTGTCCGAATATTAAATCTTTTTTTCCCTCCCCCCCCTTTCCTGATATGCCAGCATTTACAGCCCATCAGAGAGTTGTCTTTTCGTCTCTGCTTTAGATGTTACTGATATCTGCTGCAAAGAATACCTAAGCTTGGACTCCAATGAAGAAATTCATCCTTAACATTTCCTCAGTTTTAATCACTACTTAGTAGGTGTATGTGTTAGATTTATAATTTGAAATCCTTAACAATTGGTAAGGTTTTAAAGTAAATTGACAAGAAACGTCGAACAAAGATAGCAGTTTTTCCAGGTGTTCCTATGGTTTGGCCGAACAGTAGTTCCCTTAAGAACTTTGTAAGTATTTTACTTAAAAGTAAAAAAAGCTCTTGTAACACGTTAAATCTTGACAAACACTAGCAGATGACAGAGTCCTAATGAGGCCAACAGGGGAAGTACGTGTATAGTGGGCCAGCAATCAAAGACAAAACAAAGGTTGCGCTTCTGTGATATGATACTGTCTGGCTCTCAACACCAGCAGTCTCTAAATCCATGCAATTCTTGGTGGACCCATATGGGACACACTATGTCTTCACACACTATGGTTTTCTCTTAAGGTCTATGGCTATGTATGGAGACATTTCTTGGGACTTACCTAGTCCTAGACTCCAGCATCTTTGAATTCACCCTAATAAGCTTCTAAAAGAAAAATCCATCCCAGTAAAAAAAGGACACCTCAATCAAAAGAGAAGATCCCTTAGCCAGGATCAAGTTAGGAGAAGAATGAAGAGAGTTATTGGTGAGGTGCAATATAAGAAGTAAGGCATAAAACTTTCTTTGCCTAGTGACACTGTCATCCTTATCCCTCGCATGTACTTTTCCAGCTTCTCTGTTGCCCACAGGGATAAAAATAAACAAATTCCCGCAAAATCAGAAAAGGGAAAAGGATGGAAATCATAGGAATCATCCTACCTATAAGCCCATGCTATTCTACTACTATGACTGACATTTCATACTCCCCTGTGAAAGAAATGTCCCGTGCCTCTATGGAATAACAGTTCTTTCTAAATACTAACGGGGTTACAACACTGTAAGCACCTTCCGCTATTCCTGGTGACCATGATGGAAACAGCGCCTGTTTCTAAATGTAAACAAAACTCATCCTTTTGGAGCAAGGACAGAATCTCCTTATGGCTATGAAAAAAACATGGAAAAATCTGTTAGAAGTGTCAGAAGCAAGGAGTAACATTTTCGGAGACATCTTAGTCACTTAAGGTCTAAGCAGTGACTTCAGATCACCTGCTAGCAATGACAAGCTTCGGTGTTGGGGCTCTAATAGATCCATGTTCCAGCACGATAATTTTTTGAGCCTGACAGAGGTACATTGTTTGTGCTGCCAGTGGAAAGAGATGGGCACCCTGCAAGAGTTGCAGTGTCAACGTTAGAGAACTGTCTCTCCAGCAACTACATATGGAATTTATGCATATTACCAGTGCAACTCAGTACTCCCGTGTGCTGAATTTGTAACTGCCTGTAGTCAAGGTGCTTAAAATGCAGGAGTCACAAGACTTTGTGTGCACAAATACCTGACACAGGTCTGCCAAACATACAGGAAAGCCCCAAATCGATACTTGAGATCTATTAGCAAAGCAGGAGGAGGTAGTATCAACAGTTTGACATCATGTCACTTGTTGCAGAACATGTCCTAGACACAGACCTATAGGGTGCTAGGTGCTCTTTATCCACAGCGGTCAGGTACAACTCATTGCCAAAGGGGAGACCATGCACCCTTACTAGGCTATTCCATATGCCTGGCGAAGGGGAATTCTCTGTTCTGTGTGTTGAAGCAGATCTACCACACAGCAAAGAATGCAACTGAGGCCACTGGCATTTTCCTCAGAAGGGAGCACTCTTGGTCCAATCATTCATGTATTGTTATGTCAGCACTTTTCATTGTTATATTTGTTAAATTATTTAGTGAGAACACTTTTCTTATATGTAAAAGAATTCTGCTTTCCTCAGCTAGGTATTACAAAGACAACTGCAGGCAAACGTTACGGTATGTAGCAGAGAAATTAATTAGCAATGAAAGAAACTGAAGAAAAGATTTGCTTGAATTTGGTCAGCCCAGAAGTCTGCTATCTAATCTAAATTAATCTCCTCAGTTCACTTCGTAGTCAGTGGGAAAAGATGAATACTTCCCAGAGAGTTATTAATCCCATCCACTCTCAAAATCTGTTTAAAGATGAATTGTTCTGTTTCTCTCCACTTAGATTTACAGAGCAATTTGTTGGTAAAAATATCCAAGCTGTAACTGGTGAAATATGATCTGATAAAAAAATATCATTTACAGCAACTTATTGTTTATGGACTTTATGAAATTAGTATCTCTACTTGTAAGTAAAACAATTCAATTAAAAATCTAAAAAATTGGAATAAATGTCTGTACTGAATTTGTAAAATGGTAGAAATATCTCTACTACCTTATACACTGTGCACTCTGTAGATATTATAGTGAAGAATTTTGTGTAAAATTTCTTACAAAAATGTCTTGCAGACACAGAAAATCACTTTAATGTTCATAACACTTCACTTATTACGTATATTATATTTGCATTCTTCTTCAGTTTCTAGCACTAAAGATAATTCTCATCTATTATTTCATGTCTTTTACAGTGTCATAATCTAGGGAACTGTGTTAGTTCAGTTTAACAAGAAGGAAATTGCCTATATTAAGAAAAGAAAGAACTATAGGTTTTTTTGAGACAAAACAGGTAGAATGGAATGAAATAAAATGGAGGCATACATTCTAATTTTATTTCTTGTAATGAAACAGTCACTGAGAACTTATGCTTCTTAGTATTTATAGTTATCTTAAGGAGAGGTAATCTCTGAAACTGAGTTACGACAAAAAAAATAAGACAATTTATTCATGCATATCCTTCAATGAAAATGAAAGCATGAAAATGAAAGCTTTAAACAAATGCTCTTAAATATGCAGAATCTGATCTCTTGCATCCAAATGGATGTTTCTACACTGATATTTAAAAGTGACCTCTGTTCGACCCTGTTCAAAACCCATGTTTCTGTTTTGCAAATGGCAGTTCCATATAGGCATGTGTAAGATGTGAATGTCTGCATGTAAAGTGGGACTTTGACACCAGTAACTGAAATCTATGCAAAATTAAAACCTCGTGGCTCTGAGAATAATAGAAGAGATTAAGATAAGCAGGAAATGCTAGAAGTCATCAAAAAAGCACTTGAAAGGGATTGTTAGAACAGCTGTCAGTAACTGGACATAAATGAAAGACAGATGCTTAAACTAAAAGGTCAAGAAAAAACAGCACCTGACACTCATATCTCAGAATCTGTTTGCTGGCTGTCATCTGAATATTTGTGTCAGAAGTCTCTGCAAATCAAAATAAATATTTAACTTAACAGTGCTCCTACACTGCTGTGACATTCTCTTGCCCCTCCTTTTTTTTTCCCCCTAAAAGAACAAAGAGTTCCTATCATAAATAATTCTGGAAAGGAATCAAGCTCCACCCAGAGTTTTCAAGTTACCAGAAACTCTTTGTAAAGTCAATAGAGACTATTTAGGAATTACAGATGGAATGTTTGATTATCTGGGAGCAATCCAGGGAGTTCTCAGAGCTAACAATTTTCCCATTTCCTAAACAGAAAAAAGGTATTTGTGAGAAAATGTTGTACAAGAGCATCACGCTTTGTTTAGACCACTGAATGCTACTGAAATGTAATTAAATGACAATTAATAATGGTAACAAGCACTGTAAACTGAAATCTATTTGCCAAAGGGTAAAAGAGACTTCTTTCCTTAAGGAAACAATCACTCGTAGCTGTTACTTGTGCATGACTTGATTCTTGAATAGTTTTCAAAAGGAAGAGTTTATAAGGACAGTATGTTACTCAGTTGCAGAAGGAAACTAATGCTATGACCAAGCACTCAAACATGGCTGCTGTAGTCTTTCTATTAGAAAATCAAATGTAATTGGCAGCTCCTGTATCCATTGTAGCAGTCTGGCACAAGAAGTAAATTTGCCCCAGAAATGTGACTTGTCTTTCGCTAAGATAGAAGAGCTTTTAAGTGTGGCAGCTGTTTCTGCCTTGCTTTCTGCAAATACGACCCTAGCCTTGTTGTGAGCTGTACTTACAGCTTCTAGAGTTGGATTAATTCAGCAGCTTGCCCCTTATATCTTGTTTTAGTTGCATTCTTCCCTTTGAGGGGACTACATTTTTGTCAGGATGAAGAAAGCTGGCAAAAGTGTTGTGTAAACCTTGACTTGCAAATTTCCTAGTGAGGCAGTTGTTACAGCTGATCAAGAATCAGTGTTTTAAATGAAGTTAACCACTGCATAATAAATATCTTAGTAAACACATTATGCTTGAAGCCATTAGTAACTCCCTAAGCGCTGATGAGAATGGACTTAACTTTCACTTACTCTAGGAACAACTAGTATCTCAATACCTCTAGTCACTTCTACTGAAATATACTGAAGAAACCTTTAGGTAAAGCTTGACAATATGAAAATTTCTTAACCCTCAGCCTTTTGTCAAAAGACTATTCCACTGTTATAAAGATGTGTAGACACCTGATCTGGCAAAACCTTGCATTTTAACAGTAGTAAGTCAAAATACTAAAAGGAATTGCCCTCTTCTACCTGAAAGGGGGTATCTGTAACAGATGAAAGTTATAGTCAGCATGGGAGGGAAAAAAAGTACAATTTTCATTGCTTACAAGGAGATACGCTGAAAGGATTATAGCATTTCCAGGAAAATTTCTGCTTACCAGATCCACTGCTGGTCACTTGAGTTATTTTTTCATCATCTTCATCATCACTATCACAGTTTAATGGCTGAAAAGCTATTTCTGACTCTGTGTCTACTTGATTAGCATCTGGCTCTTGCTCAGCAAAGCTTCGCAAGGCCACAAGGCGGTGATGTATTGCTGCATACAGGTATCCAATGTCTTTTGAGCTTGCCTGCAGAACATAGAACGCATACAATCCAAACTAATTGAGAAAAATCTCTATTTTTCACAGAGAAGCTGACTGAGACATTTACAAAAGTAATGGAAGAGCTATATTTTGTCCTTTTAATCAAAACAATCCATTTAAGATTCACACTTAATAATTAATTTCAGAAAATAAATTTAAATACAAATAATCTCAAGTTTCTTTAAGTGGTCTGAGTTTTATAACATGTAGCTGTTGATTATTTTCTCTTTAGTCACAAGAAACACAAGCTTAAAAATTATTTCCCTTGAAGAATGGCTCAGTTTGTACTCAGTACCTGATATTCCGACAATTCCTGAATATGATTCTAGAAGTAATAAAGCACTGAAATGTTAATATATGTATTGCATTTTGGTTTACAGAATAAATAAGATAAAACCTAACTACAAAAAAAAAACTTGTGATTATAACATTTAAAGATACCATGAATTCTGCTGCTATTGTTGAACAGATCATCAAAAGGGTGTTGAGAACTATACAAGGCAGCATTTTGCACGTACATAAAACCTTTGAGCAGCCATGTCCTGAGTACTGTGTTCCATTCTAGTCAATATAGTAGAATTAAAGAAGGTAAAGAGAAGGGCATCAAAAATGATCGAGGGTGTGGTGCAGCTCCTCATGAAGAGTTCAGACTCCTCAGTCTGAAGAGAAGGATAAGGAGGGTTTTCAAAACTATAAAAGTGGTGGATAAACTGAATGTGATACAGCTGTTCATCACACCACACAATAAATGCACTAGGGTACACCTTCTAAAAGCAGTAGAGGATCAGCGTAAAAGAAAGTGCTTCTTCACAGAGTGAGTAAGAACTTCTAGAATTTTCTGCCTCAGGAGAGAGTGGGGACAGACAGCATAAACTAAAAACAACAGACCAAAAATATAGTAATAGACGTTAAAAAAAGGCACTAGAGAAATTCAGGGACAAGCATTTCATAAAACAGAAAGCAAAGGAACCAAGTAGGGGTGCATGCTCTCACATGCCTAGTGCAACACTTATGGATGCTGGGGGTCGATGAGGTGAACAGACCATACAAAGTGACGGTGCGTGCTTGTGCTTCCTAAAAGCACTGCATCTGGGGACAGTCAGAAGTGACAGTAGAGTACTTCTTCCGTTCTTATGAAGCAAATCACCTACTAGAGGGTAACTGAAGACATATGGTCTTCTGTAGCCCAATTCTCCACTTCTGTGCATTATGTGGAGTAATTTCTATCTGTATCACTTGGCAATAGGAAGAAATATGCCTTGTTTGGATGGGAATGACACGTTTTGGTGTGTACAGGTGGAAAAGCTATGCCAGCTGGGAAGCAGCAGCAAATCAGGGTTGCCTTCTGTGCTACCCAGGTGTGCAGTGGCAAACAATTCCCTCCCTACACCCAGGCAAAGAAGAAAGCAATTCAGAGTTGCTCAGGTGTCTCAACTACAAATGGAATTCTCAGTGGACAAATCTGAGCTTTCAAGAGAAAGCGGCTTTTCAGAAAATGTAGGGTCATAAGCATGAAAAAGGTGGCTATTCGGTCTGATCATTTCTATCTGTAGCTTTCTACTTATTCATTCAAAAGTCAGAGTTCCTCTGTCACTTTAATCTAATGTGAATTCCAGCTTCTGCCAAGAGGGGTGGACTCACCCTCATACATAGAATTGTAGAGTGGTTTGGGTTGGAAGGGACCTTTAGAAGTCATACATCCTCTAAACCTTCATTTCTACCCTCTCCCTTGTGTCAGTACCATCATTAGGGCGATCACAAGTGAATAAAATCAAGCTAAAAAGCTAACTTGGCAAAACCGAACCAAACCTCCCAGATCAGTTCTTTGATCTGCCTCACTCATAGTTGCACAAGTTCCAGTGCCACCAAAAGCAGGGAGGGAGAAACAAGCATGAGGGGAGGGGCAGGGTCAGCCCTCTGCACCAACCTGGGTAAGTACTACAGGACAACCTGGTGGAGTCTTGTGGACTGCCTCCTTGGTACGCAGCATCATATGACTCTTCTCCCTACTCATGAGAAGCCCTTTGGATAATATCCCTGAACCAAATGTACCAATCATTGATGTGATGCAGGAAAAACAAATTTAAATGGCAGTTAAAGATATCTGCTGGTACTTCGGAGCAGTGGGCTCCACTGACTACTGGACCAGCCTGATTTGTGCGCCAAGGCATTGGTGGTGCCTACAGGGTGTCTCACACATTGACCAATTTGCTTTCCACACTCGAGAGTCTCTGTGTTAGTTTGGCTGGATACCAGCTACAGCGATGGATACCAGCCGCTTCCGAAGCAGCTGGGAGAAGCAGCTTCCTGCAATCCTTGCCACACACATGCAGCTGTCATGAATCTTGGTTTCCTAATACATATCTCTTTTTACTGTCCAGAAGTGCCAGGACAGAATTTAAGAAATGTTTACGTCTTTATATGCTAAAAAAACTGCAGCACATCTGGAAATCTAGGACATTTCTAATTCTCACATGCAGATCAGCCGTGCAGCACAGCCACAGTTAGGTCAGTCACCATGTGGAAGTGATAGACTTCCAGTGCTTGCATACACAGTGCATGGTGCTTTGCTTCTGTATGACGTGTGACACCTCCTGGAAGTGGTGATTTATTTTTCTTGCCGAGGAAGCTGAACGCTTCCCAGAAAGGTCTACTGGGGAAACCGGAGACATCCTTAAACTCACATGAATACTTTCACTTCCCAACATAGGACATATGTGCTATTTATTTGCAAATAATTCCACCACATCTCCATTCTCAACTTATCAGCCATTGGCAGAGAAAACCAGGATTCCCAAGACTACTGCCTTACATAATGCGACACTGCAAAATCTGTGTTCTCCTCAACTGAGAAATGGAGGCCTTACACTGGGTGGATGATTGCAAGCACTGTGTCGAGAACCACGGCAGAAAGCTGCTGCCTTGTACCAAAGTAACTTATGAATATGTAACTACCTGTATAGAAATTCTTACAGTGTTGCTTCCATAAGAAAGAGTAATTGCTGCACATGACTCTGGAATGATAACCATTCCATCAGTTGTATGTGAACCAGTCTGGAAACGTTTGTCCTAAGGCCATGTCCTATCTTCACACCTTTTTTGAAATACGGAGGGATAGCATTTGTAGCTCATTTCATAATAAAAGCTATGTCACAGCTAAGCTAAGGCTAGCCTGACAGAGCATAAAAGGCCATTTGCTAAAAGCAAAGCCTCAGCAATTCTTCAGAATCCTAGACGAAATGGGAATTTGAGTGAAGTTTTTATCTCTTGCTTACCTGAATCAGAAATACTTGAACAGAGTGGTCCTCTTGGTCTGTTGCAGTGAAGCACAGGCTCTTTCTGTTTGCTCTTTCTATAACCATTTGATTCCAGAGTCGGGTGTTGAGAATCAGTCTCAAGCTGCCTTGATTTCGCATAACTAAAATCAGAAGGTTTGTATGGTAAGTCATTGGACCCATCTTCATTTTTACTGCAGCAGTTTTCTCTAGCACTTGCATACAACTAATATTTTAATGAATTATTATTTTTAATTTGGTCTAAAATCTGACATGGAGATATTTTTTAATTATTATTTTTTTAAATACTAAAATACATTTCTTTCTATACCTCTGGCATACCAAGCAAATAATCTGCTGAAACTGTGCAATACAGTAGAAAAATGACAGCACAGTAAAAACAAAATTCCAGAAGTGACTTGAATCAGTGCTCATGGAAAAGCAGAATCAACAAAAAGCAAACTGTCAGACTGGTGACTGAGCTACAGATAAGTTGCAGTAGAAATGCACAGAACCTGACAACACATGCAAGCATGAGTGTACAGACTGAGTTCAAAGTGCCCAGTGCCTCAGTCTGTAACACAGCTAACTTGGTGGTTATCAGGCAATGTTAAAAAGATTTGCAGCAACGTGACTTTAATAAAATTACCTACTCAGTTCTAAATGCTCTGGAACAAACTTATTCTGGCCAGCAATTGTACAGGTTATTTAGTATTTTGTCTATGTGTTACTTTGTTATTTAATTCTTACTTAGCCTTGACTGCAACATTCCACATTTATTGCTAGTAGTGTCATTAAGCCTCAGGGATCCTCTGCCTCTTTCAATCCAAGTTAAAGAAAGCTTATTAAACACAAAGAGCTTGCAGTTGATCTGAAAGAGAAATATGTGATAAAAATTGCCAGCCAATGTTAATTTTATTGGTTTTAAAACTTTATGTTTTTAAACCTTTTGATATGGCTTTGAATACACCCATATGCATGTATACAAGGATAGATACATAGATACATCACCATTATTACTTAAAATGAAATGGCTCCCAGATCTGTGCTAAACTTTCTGCTAGTCATGGAAAATACTCAGCATGAATCCCAGTTTACTTTTTCAGTTATTTCATCTTCATTAACTCTTCATCTGTGATATCCACTATCAAAGCTGAATTTGTTGCAAGTGTTCTACAGTCTTATTCCCTCACTCATCAGAAACTTTATGCAGCCCAGGATACCAGTACTACCACTAGGAGAGTACTGCTCCAAAGAGAGTAAAGTTTCCATGTTCTGGCAAGACAGACTTAATCAATGATAATATAACTTTCAATGTTAAGATTTTTAAAATCAAATACATCATTGTTTTTTTCTGAGAAAATAACAGTTTGAAGATGAAGAATAGCAAGATATGTCCTTCTGGGCAAGAAAGATAATTGATTTTTAAATGAACTATAAAACTAATTACTTTGACAACACATTGCTTTTTTCCCCAAAAAGTTTTGTCATAAAAAAAATCTTTACTCAAATCACTTCCAGTTTTGAAGTTTTAGTTACTGCTGGTATACTGTGTCGATGCTCATAAAATAAAACTATATTTTATAAAATAAAGCAGTCACTTACTGAAAGGCACTATAAAATGAACACACAGAATATGAAAAAGAAACTATCAGCCTACAGAAAAATGGGTTAGCAGAGGCATAGCATAAAAAAGTTAAAATTTAAAATATAAACTGAAGTTATTTTCAGATTGCTGCAGTCTGAAATAGATCTAGATGTTCTTTTCAACAACAAAACTGTTCACCATCAAGGCTTTATGAAATACACACCTGTAATACATTGTGTTCTGCTTCTTCTCCAGTTATAACTTCAACTTTATCTAACAGAATTTTCTCCGCTGGCTTGGAAATACAAGCAGCTGCTGATTCAATTAGCATTGCATTCCTCAGCAAAGCTGTTTCTGTAGAGAAAATTTTTTTTAAAAAAAGGAAATCCTTTCTGTACAGGTGATATTTTCAAGACAACAAAACTAGCACATAGGATGGCCTGTGATATCAGTAATCCCTGTGGTGTCTGATTATTTAGTGTTATTAGTAAGTTTTTGGCCAACCTAGTAAATAGAATAGAAAAAGACTGAAATACTGCAAAATGTCTCACCTCTTAATTGAGCAAGGCTCTCTGCAGTTGCAGGGGTTTGCAACAAGAGACAATTTGCAGAAACAAGCCCTAAATAATTAGAAGTTGCTTTTCCAAATTAAACTGGTCTCTCATATTTTTGTGCAGATTGATAAATAATGAAAGACACATGTTCTATTATTCAGAATAGTAACACATATACAGTGAATATTTGACAAGAACACAAAGGATGAGATTTGAAAGGAACAACACCGTTACAAAATTTTGTATATTTGCATAATCTATATAGGTTTAGGCGTTAATTATTTTTACTTCCAAGAATGACCATACGAAGTAAGAGGATCCAATACCTCCATTAGTAAAGAGAGGTGGAAAATCTGCAAGAGGGCTCAACATAGGGGTCTATTTGGGATTCCCTCACAGCTGACGTTTACGTGGCTTGCCTAGCATAAAAATCTCACACCAGAGTCACAGACAACCCCTGAAATCTGTCTGTATAGAAGTTTCAATCCTACAATTAGGATGCAAATATGGCAAAGTAAATTATATGAGCAGTTACAAAATACAAGTAGCTGACAGCTTAAAACTGTAGTTCAAAAACGTAGTCCAAAAGGCATTCATGAAGTTCACTCATTTTTTTCATATAATAAATAATAGTAATCTGTAATAAATAATAATAATAATCTGTAAAACACTATCATTTCCTGAATAACTTAGATCATTCATTCTGAAGTTAGTCCAATTCATATGTCATAAAACAAACTGCAGCTGCTTTCTGATCACAGATTTTGGCACATCCTGCAAGTGTACTAGTGACTGGCTAACTTGAGACTAGATGGAAATTATTGATCACCACTCATTTGACATCCTCTAAGATACAGTGAAACATGTAATAATCAAGCTAACTCTACCTGTTTGCTGAGTATGCTTACGTGTTTGTGGACTGACATGAAAAGATTCTATGTACATGGATGTTACTTCTCCTTTGTATGAATCAGCTTCATTACACGGCTTGGGATTATTTTCAGGACTCTAAAAAAAGCCAGGGGAAATAAGAATTACTATTTAAATAAAATGGCATACTACTTCATATCAAGCAGAACATTGAATCATTTAATGCACGCTAGGCTGAAGATTAGCAATTGTAATAGCTTAAGAGTAAGAACTGACCCAGATGATACAATTTCAGTCTCTTAGTGGAAGTAACTGTATTGTCATAAAATCAGTACACCATTCTTCCAACAAGAAGAATGGCCTGTTTTGTGTTTATCCTGGACTGGGATTGAAATCTATGGATTTAGATGTTTAAGTACCAGCTAATTTCCTGTTTAAGCATGTAAGCCCCCAAAGAACAGTTTAAAATCCCCAAACACCAAAACTTAACCTCAGAGGAATTAAAAATTTCCATGACCTCCAGCTGTTGTAGATAAAGTTTCGTAGGTATGTCTAAACAAATGCTTCTGGCTCCTGACAATGTTCAGTCGCTCAGCTCCTACCTTATAACTAAATCCTCAGCAGAAGTCATAACCCAGACCTATGGTTGCCAAGCTTTTTCACTGGCGGATATGCGTACTGTTTTCATTCTACTTCTCCTAGAAATTGAATTTCAATTCCATTTTAAATGGTGCAGTCCTCGGCTTGGGAACCACCTTCTTGTCTGAGTTTCCTTCAGGACTTGATCCATTAAGCTGTCTCACAGCATGCACAATACAGTTTAACATGGATGCTGTGTCCAGTTCTCCCCTCATACTAATTTCTCCCATCTCTTAACAGTTACGATGGAAACTATTAGAGCAGTGGTGACCACATTCTTTTATCTCATACTGTGGCTGTCCCACTTTACATGGAATATATATTAAAAAAAACCCCACCTTTCTCAGTTCAAAATATGAGCAAAAGAGAAGCAGCATATACTGGTATGGGTTAGTAATTAGAGTACTTATCTAGGATGAGGAAGATAAGGATGCCTATCCCTCCTACAGCAAATATTTAGATATTTTCTGCTCAACAGTTACTGGAATCATATTTACTCACATCTTTAAAAGAGAATCAATCTCTGAAAAAGATTATAAGTACATTAACCTTGATAAAAAGTCTGCCAGCGTTTACAGATCTTACCAAAACTCTTTCAACCATGTTTTCTCCAAACACAAAATCAGAATTGCTGCTGTTCTGTACAATTCTGTCTTCAAACCACTGACTTCTGTGGGAACAAAACAACATAAGAATGTGATTTAGAACTATTTAGAACTTTGCAAAGAATATAAGTTCATGCTTTTACTTTAACACACATACAGACAAACAAAAAATGATGATGTAAGTAATCAGAAAAATTCTTTAAGAGAATCTGAGTATATTCTCTACATAATATTTCACAAAAGGAACAGAGATTATCACACTGTATATCATGAAGATTATTGAGAACGTTCCTTAAAAGCAAAGAAGAAGCAGCAAAACAACATGCCTTCTCCTGCTCCAGGAAGTGTCCTGCTCCAGAAACTTTAATGAGTTACATTTGTTTCCCTGTGTCCTTTTGCTCCACCAAAAGACGACCAACAACTAACAATTATCCCTTCATGTTGGTGCGGCCCTGGTACCCTTCAGAATAACGTACTCCTCAGTGCCTTACCACCTCTCCTTGGTCATCCACCTAACATCTTGGAAAGGCAGAGAGGCCATGTATTCTAAAGCACACACCTTCAATTCACAAATACTGCAAAAACGCCAAGGTATGATAGCAGATGGCTTATGATGAGGTACAACTAGAACAGGAAAGAAAGATCTTCTTTCCATTTTTCAATGACCTGTTCTAGAGATAGACCTTAAATGAGAAGCGAAGAAAACTAAATACTTGCAATCCTTTGGTACTGGCCAACTATAGTTTGGGGATACAGACTTGGGAGAAAAATTCATACAGTAGATACATCACTTTACATTTAGGATGTGGAGTGTGACTCGTTTTGGTAGAAGCTACATTAAAACAACACTTGTCCTTCTTCTCTTCTGTCCCTATTTTCCTTCTTAGTGTCTCAGGTTTTCCAGACTTTTTTTTTTTTTTTTTTTTTTGCATTGCCACCCTGAGTTTAACTACTCTCAGTTAGCCTCTTACTTCTCAGGAAGTTTTAAGAGAAGGTAGTGAGTGTGTTTTTAAATAGTGACACAGTCACAACTTGTAAAAAGTATGTTACTTGTAGATTACATTCAAGAATATTCTAATATAAGTAGAGTTGTGATGTGCCCTGCTAATTGCATAGCCACTTTAAATTAACAGGATCCATTTTTTATAAAAGTCACTAGAAAAGTCCATGTAAACGTCTCTGTGTGGAAGTTGCTCCTGCTGCTGTTTTTTGGGGTGTTTTTAACACAAGGCTTATAGGTTGTTCATGTTTTCTGTAGAGCTTAATCACTGCACCTCTCACTGGCAAAGGCAAAACCATTCCGAGTTCTTGTCTCTTTCTCTTCCAGAAGGACAACTTGGCAGGAAGACAATCTGATGTTCTGTCACAAACTGCATACTTCAGCACCACTTGTCTGCTCTTCCAGATCATTTAGCACCCCTGGGAGGGCTTAACGCACTTATGTCATGCAGAGAATATTCCTCTTAATAAGCTGGGTTTGTTGCCAGAACTCTGATGATTCCCTCTAAATCTTAGTTGCCGTGTTCACAACTACAGTGTGCTTGAAATCTCTTCACATAGGATGAAGGAATTCCCAAGTACAAGCTATCTCCATTTCACATTTAATGAAAAAAATATTCCTTAAGATTCTCATGTTCGATGTGTTGCTAAGACTAAGAGCAAATAAGAAAGACAAATCAGAAAATCCCTTTCTTTTCATCCTTGAAGCCTTCCATATGTGTTTTGGGCCATGAACAGGGAATCTGAAGTATGTTTAAACTAATGAGTTTCTTAAGAAAACTCCCCACTAAAATTCACTGAATTGTGATCAATTTCCATCCTGAAATTTCATCTGCTACTTCTAGGCTGCTCCAGTAGCAACTTAGTAAGGGTAGCACTCCAGAAGACGTAAAAACCAGAAACTAGAGCTTTGTCTCAAAGAAATAATGTGGGAAATGCATTCTGATTATTTTCAGAAACATAAGGAAAAAGTAGTCAGTGCAGGATCTTTCTTCTTCCAGAGAGTTAACTGGAAGTGCTGGCCTTAAAGTCTCAGTAAAACCTCAATACCCCTGTGCTGCTGCAGGACAAGAACAAAGTGTGCCAGGGATGACATTGCCATGGAGATCCAAAACAGAGGCACTGAATTCAGGGAACAACAATTAACAAGGAAGAATGGGAGAAGGAGAAATGTGGATCAGATACTGGAAAGAGACCACTGAAAAGGAGTAGATCCAGGTACTGTCCTTCTCAGAGTGTCCAGAAAGGTCTGAATAACTGCCAGTTCTAATGCCGGCCTTGAACCCTTGCAGTTTTCCAAGTAAATCTTTGTGCAAAGCTGAATACATGACCAGTAGCCTGCGTTCTCCCAGCGTTATATTTCTGTCACGACACAATGTCCTTTCCAAGCTTTTAATTCATTATTACAGCCAGTTCAGGAAATGGAACTGTTGGTGGTTTCCTGGGGCATGGACAGCTGCAGCAACTGCAGAGGGCAAACAAACCCATTTTCATTCGTCTCTGTACAGAACCGTATCACACAGACAAGAAGAGGTGGAAGAGAAGGGAAAGTATGAGAGACGTTTGCAAGCAGCAGCACTCCCTGCTGTTGAGTCTCTCTGCATTTTATTTTTTGAAGGTAAATGTCAACAGCTACAGCTTGATTGATAATTTAAAAAAATCTAAAAATACCTTTTCTTAGCAATGAGCAGGTCTGGCTGCAATGTTTGCTATTGTTTAGCACGTGTGCTATGCAATCAGAAGAGAGTTCTCCAAAGGCACACAAAGATGACTGTAAACATTCAAACCACGACATATTTTGAACTGCCAAAGCCCCATGAGGTGGCAAACCAGAACAGTTTCTGGCTTGAGGGTTGCTACTGAGAAAAAAACTGTCCCACAGAGATTAATTCCCAGCCGGACTCCATTACTTATAGCATATGGAGCTCATGTCAGTACCCACAAGTCCTGGCACTGCACACAAACACCAGTGAGTGCTGTGCGGGTGTAGATAGCATGGGCTTAGTACCATGTCAGACATGTGGGAGAACGGGGCATGCCATAGGCCAAGTGACAGAATGGTGTACAAATATAATAAATAAAAACTTACTGTGTTGTTTTAGAGCTGGAAAGATTCATGGTAGTAGGTGACCTCGCTGCTGGTTTCGAATTTACTGCATTCTCAGCTGAGGAATAAGAGCTGTCTTCAGATAGCTAGGAATAATAAAACCAGACAAATTAATTAGACCAAGCTTATTTTCTGCTATAAACAGATCTCCTAGAAGTCCAGAGAAACGGGGGTGGGGGGGGGGAGGGTGCGTGTATACATATATATATATATGGTATATAGGTGGTAGCTGGCAGAGCTTCCTCCAGCTGCGTACTAGGCCAGTGCCCTTAATCAAAATGCTAAAATGTTACTTTCTAAATAAGCAAAATCCAAAAGACCCCTAAAGCTGATTTGCCCACAGAACCCTGATATCTGAAAATTGAGACATTCTGCAGAGAAGAGATGTTTTTTCGAACACAGCACGAGTTTAACAGTTCACTCCATGTCAGTGATCCATCGATTCCACTGAAACTGAGATGGGAACTTTCTTGAAAATTATGCAGTGGTATAATTAACTGCTTTAAAACAGCACTTTTTTCTTTTTTAATTTGAGCTGAAAACATATATTAGCCAGTAAAATTACTTTTCTTTTTACCTGAACACGTGCTTCTTTCTTAGCTACCAGAGATACTACAGGATTTTCAGGGCAGGTCAGGGCTTGTGGGGGTTGTAAAATGGCAGGTCTAATGACATTCCGCAATTGACTTTGTGACAAGCACCCTTGCAAAATACAAAGACAAAATGTTTAAACAGAGACTTTTTCTTCACATCTAATTCATAACTATGTCTTGCCTTTTTAACTGAAAGCTTCAAATAATACTTATTTAATATTTGTTGTTGTTTACTTGCTACCTATTCTGAAAAATTATAATCCCTTCTAAAATACACAACTCCACAGTGACACCAACCTGTGTCATCCCATCAGAATGAAAAGCTAATGTGCTATTTGAAAAAATACAGCTATTTATGAAATATATTTGTGTTTGTGTACTTAAATATATATTTATATTTATATTTATATTTGCTGCTTTGGGCTAGATCTGTCTTCTGGTATTTCAAATTTCATCCTGCACCTGCAGACACCAAGAGCGTTCTTCATTGCCTTCTCCAGGAGCTGACTTCTTCAGTTAGAAATGTGGAATTCCTCTATTCAAGGTTATATTCAGTCCACTCAGGAATTACATAGTCAGAGCAGAGGTGCAGAGCTGACAGGATATTTACACTGCCAAACAAGTAACTTACAAACCTCATAACGATACTTAGCCTATCACGCAGCATAGAGAAGAGTTGTCATTTTTATGTCTTCTGTATGTATTAAGAAGGTCTTTGTGGAACTACAGTGAACAAATACTGCAACGACAGTTACCTTGGTTTGTACTTTTGATCAAATCACGGTTTCTTTGAAGAAGAGCTGAGGTCATGAATATGTTATTCTTCTTTACTACAGAACATGGAATTTAAACTTTAATAATGAGTAATAATAAATTCCAATTACTAATTCATGTTTCTGTAATCCCTCCCTATTTCAGTAGTACCTGAGAATATTCAAACCTATCCATCTAAACAAGATCTCTGAGATAACTGCTACTGTCTCTCTTTTACGGGTGTGTAGATGTAGACACAGAAAGCACCACTGGTTTCCTGGCTATGTCAGAGACAGAAGTCTTTTGCACATTAACAGTTGTTTTAAACTCATAAAATCCTTCTTCAGCTTTGAAAACCAGGTGCTGCTGGTTTGCAAAAGCTATTTACATGGCAATGCTATCTTGTCCAGTCTTCGGCATTTTTAAGATGACCAAATGAGGCCCAAGAACATGGGAATAAATACACATGCCCTGCCCTGTTCTGGTAAAAAGGCTTTCATAACTCACTATAATGATGGCAGTGCACTACTGATGCTTTCACTGTTTTAATAAAGATACCAAACACCAGCCAGAAAGTGATGGCAACCACATAACCACATCCTGCAAAATGATACAACTGATAGTCTACACACAATCACTACTTTTTGATTGCAGAAACAGTGTGATTTGTTCCTATAACAATGTTGTGTCTTCTTAAGATTGTTTAGAAATCCTTTATGCCAATGTCTGTCAAGGACCTGTCTCTGGTAAGAGACATAGACTAGGATTTAAGACCACTCCATTGTTCCCAATAGTGGTAAGTGGGAGAATACTCCAAGGGTCACTGGTTAAGTGGAAGACAGGCTCTGACAATAGAAAACTATATTCCTACAGGAACCATCACCATTAAATTGCCAGCAAACTAATTTATGTCATTACTTGAACTCCGTTACGTTTTTTTTCAAGTATAATGTGTACCACACTGTGTAAATACCTATTTGCAAATTATTTAAAGATTCCTCCTCAGCACTGCAGGATTCCTGAACAATAAATGTAAAAAACATTTCTTCTATCGAACTGCCAGTCCTCCTTCTAAAACATTCCTTCCTCCTGTCCAAATACCAGCCTAGTCCAATGCACTCCATCTCTGTCCTGCAGAAAAAGCATGTCTGTATACCTCTTTATTTTAGCTAATGCTTGCTTTTCTACATAAATATTTATTCCTTTTGTTGTTTTAATTTTTTTTTTAATTACCTGGCTGGGAGGGAGGGAAGGTAGGAAGGATGGTAAAGGAAGATGATCTCCCTCTCTTCTGAGCGAGAGCTGTATCTGAAAGGAGAAGAGACTGAAATTATCATTTGTTTGGAGAAAAAACAAAGATTACTTTTAAAGCTATCCAATTTGATGTCATGCCTTCATTGGCAGTACAGTACATTATAATCTGCTAACTGCCAGCTTTCCAAAGTAGACTGTTAGGTTATGCCTATATTGCTGTATCAGAGAGGTCTCTAAGACCAAGCAGCACAACCTGGCCCAGGCACGCTGCTTATGGCTACTCTGCTCCGTAACAGTTCTGCCTTGAAAACTGCCAGCTGGAGAGGATCAAAACAGGACCAGGGAGTAAGCTGTCAGTTAAGCAGGGTGGACAATCAAGAGGTCAAACACCCAAGCTTCCTCCTGCACCCTACTTCATATTTTGGTATAGGCATACCCTAAAATTTCTACCATATCTATGATTTTCTGTCTATGATCTCAGCGTAATTTCCAGAGTAAACCAAACTTGGCTTATCTTAACTGCTCTTAGCTACATTCAGGTGTGTCACAGGACGCGATAAAACAAAGTATAGCGTACACATACTAATGCCTGAATTCAGAAATAACTTTCTGGTCTCATGCATATGTTAAATAAACACTGTAAAAAACAGATCAGTCCTTCTGCACAGTAGCCTCAGCAACTTGTGTGCATTTTCCATGGAAGTAATACACAGTCCTTAGAGGGCCTTCCAGGTCAGCTCTTGGCTGGGGCCCTTCTGGAAACCGCTTTACATTTTCAGGGATTGCCCAGGGAATACTGATTCCTTCCACAAACCAAGGAATCTCATGCCTTGCCAGCTCTCCTCCTCCTCCCTTGACTGTGTGAGCAATTCAAGGAAACAATATGAAATATACAGCTATTTAACTGCTTTATGTAATATTATGCAAGTATGAAAAATCAATATATTTTTATGTAAAAAGGGATTTATTGGAAATTACAAGCAATTTTATATCAGTGTTTAAGTTTTCGTAACTTGCAGCATTTCTACAGTGCAAAAACCTTTCTTAGACAGGATAATTCCTTCTTTTCTTTACCAGATGAGAATACAGAACTATAGTAATTACAAGATGACTGGAGCTAAACATCATACCTGTGTTAGACTGAGAGTCAGACTTCTGCAAAGTAAAAGATGACGATCTTGCACGCTTTCTGGAGCAACTAATGAAATCTAGAGATAAGTAAACATAATGTTCTGCAGCAACAGACTGGCAGGAGATTTCAGCACGTTGTTATGATACGGAATTCAAACCTGAACATGATAAATTCTAGGAATGACTTACAGGAACAGCTTTAAGGTAGTACCTAAAAGCACAAGGGCTTTGCAATCTCCGTCAACACCTGGCACAAAGCCCCGGGGAGTCATCTTTATTTCTGCTAAGTTCAGGAAACCTAAATGAAGCACTTAGAATCAGTTCAGAGCCCACAGGCTCAGAAGACATTAAGAATGAGCAGTTACATTGTAACATAGCCTAAACAAATAGAAAAGTGCAGCTAGGAGCTCCTACAGCTGATGAACATACTTGGCCACTTTTCAAGGGTTCTGGAGTTTGGCTTTCTGGTAAATACAAGAGGTAAGGGGGAAGAACTCTTGAGGTAAGACAGGGACATAGTAGGTGGCTCTACAACCCACACAATCTCAGTCTACCGACAGGGATTTGTCCCTGCTCATATAAAAGTACAAACACTATTTTCACAGGCAACAGTTAGACCTATGAATAACCCAGTGTATTATTATACTGTTTCAGTGAGGTGGTTATTACCATTTTCAGCTTTGCAAACTGGGTCTTCTGCAGGCCGCTGGAAAAAAAATATAAGCAAGGAAAAGTCAAGGAGAATAGAACAGCCATTTTCTAGACCAGGACATAAAGTATAGCAATCCAGCATATATGCATTGAAAGCAATCTTGTTTCTAGTTTCTACCTTTCCTTGTCCTATTTTAAGACCATTTATTAGAAGTCTTAACCTGGGCTAAAATCTTTTATTACTGCTAGGATCATTGCCTATAGAATCCTCATTTCTCGGCATTTTATATCAATTAAGGGGAGTGTATAGGGAAGCCTTTTACCTTCAAGGGACGGTCCTTCTTTTCAAAAATGAATGTCGGCTGGGCAAGCACTGATCTCTCTGGAAAAGAGAAGAGATCATTTTTATTAACAATTCTGTAACAGCGCTTCTCAACCACAGTTCTCAAAGTGTTATGCAATAACAAACAGGACTTTATCCTCTTGTTACAAAGGAAGAAAATAGAGCTGCAGTGATGTACAGCACAGCCCGTAAATAAAAAAAAAGCTAGAGTCCACAAATCATAGTGTGAGTTTTGCCTAACTAGATGCCACAGGATTTGGCCTCATATTTTTTCACACTTCTTTTAGTTAAGTGCTTTTAGCCTTCACAAACAAGATCTGCCATCCTTTAAGAAGAAGGGTGAACTGCAGCTTTGGTTCTCAGAAAAGCAAAGGATGTGAGACGCAGAATAATCCCAAAAGGAAAGAAGGAAATGAGTTACACTTGGCCTCTCAGCTACATTCACACTTCCTATTCTTTAGGCTTCAGATAACGAATGCCTACTGTCAGCTTTAATGTGTGAGTATGACATACAGACATATTGAGTTTTACAGAGCAAATTCCACTCTCAGACATACCTCTGCATTTCTTAGGTATGACTGAGAACAACTTTGGATCCCTATTCTTTTTTTTTTTCCCTGTTAAACATATTTCAGCATACAGTTGCCTCACATCAAATTTTATGTTGATCTAGGGTTCGCTACTTCTACATCTTACATGACTTCTTAAGGCTACTTACTTTGCTAAGAATGAGACCTTCACAGCCTGTGCGATTCTAATGGACTAACTCTGCTTGTCAGTATGAAAGCAGAAGTTGTTTTCACCAGTAACACCAATCAATGAAACATTTATTATGCCAATGAATGGCACAAAGAAAGAGCAAAGAAGCAGACACAAATAAATCTTTTTAGACCACCACATACAGGATTCACTTCATGCTAGCTTGAGATGTCTGTGATGTGCAGTCAACAGAAACCATCAGCTTCTGAGCATAAGCATATTTTAGCTGTGTATGTTAGGAGATGAATGGAGACCTAAATGCATGTAATTCTCTCCATGGGTGACAAGGACAGACTAGGGTCACTACTGAGCTATGCAACTGGCCTTTGGCCAGAGAAATCCCACACTTGATAGCTTGTTAATTGACATGTGACAGAGTATTTATCCTGTACACACCATTTTTATAACACTGGCTTCCTTTGTTTTATATTAGAATATTGACCTGTTCAACAAAAATATCCATTGAAAATAAATGGATTGATATTTTTATCTTGGCCTGCACACCTATCTGAGACTCTAGCATTGGCATCGATTACTTTAAAGTTTAATAAAGCAACTATCAACCTATCATGGAAATTTTAAAATTACTAAGTAAATATATATTCAACAATCAAGAAAAAAGTAAACATTGTTAAAATAAATGCTGCATGTATGTAAACTGGGGCAAGAAGTATGAAACTATTACTCCAACCTAGTGATATACAGACACAGCAGTAATAACTAATAGAGTTTTGCTGTTGTTCAAGTTAATTTTGTATTTACTTGGGCATTACGAGTGTGCAAAGGACTGAATTTAGCAAACTTTGCCTGCTGTGCAATGAAGGTCTGGTTTGTCCTTAATAGAAAAAGCAGAAAAAAGTTCACATTGTTCAAGTCCAAAAAAGATAATCCTCTGTCATTGAAAGTTGAAGAAAATTTCCATAATTCGGTTGCAGCTGGGGGTCAGTGACACGGCATGAGATGGAGCAATTCCACTTCTATTCACTAGAGGGGAGTGGCACACATAAACAATAGTATTTCACTGAAGTATGATGTATTCAATACAATAGGCTCTTTTCCTGTCTCCTTTATAGAAAAAAAAAAAGACATTTATTCTTACTGAATGAAGGAAAAATACAAAAATTAAAGCACGACTACAGAAACCTTCATATTCTTCACAGTACCTCTCAAAGCTCAGAACCTAGCAGTATTTTTGATGGTACAGTTACCACCCCAAAGCATAGAATTAGCAAAGAGTGAATTGCTATGAAAAAGGAACTGACTTTCTATCACAGAGTTAACTTTTGCTGGAGCTAAAAGGTTGTAGGGAGCTTGAAAGAATTAGGAATGTTCACTACAATTTAAACGACAAAATTCCAGTAATCGTTTAAAACTCAGAAGTTACTGAAGAAAATTGTGACTGGTTGATTACCGACAGAAACACATGAAGCTAGAGTATAATGGTACCTCTTAAAGACATATACGCATATTTTAATATTGCAATAAACATAAAAGATATATCCCACCAACTGCTTTTGAGTCAAAGGGAAAACTTTCTTGCCATTAGTAGATTTAATCAGAGGTTGCTGATTGCTGCCACAGTTATTTACCACTTTTATGGTTCTGTATTCCTTCTACTCAAATCAAGAAAATCAAAAACAAATCAAACTTTCTGTAATTTCTGGAAAGTATTCAATGTGGCTCATAGTTCAGTCTTCACTCCTCAGACCATCCATAATAGAGTTCAAAAAATATATTTGTGCTAACTATGTATGTATCCTATGCATCAATTTCCAATTACATTTTAAACTTCTCAGATATTCAAGCACAAAATATCCGCAGCTGTTCCCCACAGAAAAAGCAGCGCAGAATTGCTTGTGGATGTAACACAAGGCCATCAAGGAGTTACCACAATCGCATCAACGCGCTAATTTTAACACTGGTGAGCAACTTGCATTTCTCTCCTTCGTCTTCTGCACCCAGGCTGGCGCAGCCAGGCCCGTGGCTGCATGCGGGAGAAGGAGAAGCCCTTCTGCACCCTCCTCTCGGGCAGCGGCTGAGGCACCCTGCCAGCATCCTGGGAAGAGGCAGCACAGCCAAGGCCAGGTGCAGGCGGGCGTGGAGGGACGGCAACCCCTCCTCCTCCTCCTCCTCGCCAAGTGGGCTGCCTCTGGCTACAGGGAGTGGAATAATCTACCAGCCTCAGCCAAGAGTCCAGACACAGAACCTGTCTGCCTGCCCATGAGTAATCACCACAGATGGGGCTCTCTTTTGCTCACTACAGCTCCCCTGAAGCTGCTGAATTAGAAAGGTCTTGGCCTAATGTTTGCTGGACTCAGAGTTCAAAATAAGCCCTTGCCTGGAAGACACATTAGAAACATCCAGTTCGAGATCTTACCTACATGGCCTCCTGGCTCCAGCTGCCTGTCGTGCACAGAAGCACTGCCAAACGTGCTCGGACCTGAGCTCCCCGACACGGAAGGCAGCCAGGTCTCAGCCCTGATGCCTGCTCTGCTCTGCTCATCCAGCATGGGTATCCCCGCTCCATCCCTGCTCGGCGCTCTGCCTAGCACTGTGCGTGCAGGCAACTGGCGAATTACAGTCGTTTGTACGCCCAGATGGAGACTGCATTGAGAGAGTTCCATTTGAAAGAAAGCAGAGGTGCGTTTTGGGAAAAATAATTGCTGGCTGCTGCATCAGCCTAGGAAGGACTAGTCAGAATGACATGCAAGGAATAATGTAAAACCGCTTTCACCAATTTTGCTTGCATCCCAAAAACCAGCATTGTCCATGAGGTGCCTGGGTCCTTCAGCCTTTGCTGTTGCATTCCACTCTTCACTTTTATTGCTTCTGCTTTTCCTATCCACTGGATTTTGCCTGAGCTTCTACTGTTCCCACAACTTTATATACTATTTGTATGGGTCTTTACAAATAACTTTCGATCCTGCAATCAGATATTTCAGATTGGCTTAGCTACAAAACTGCATCCTTCAGACAAAACCAGAAAAAAACCCACCCAGTAGTTCATAACTGCCAACAAAGGTGTAACACTGATAACAAAAGCTGACTTGTAAAAAATAACATTTTTCTCGTAATACTTTATAATTAAAATAACAGCTTGTACTTCTTTGTTTTTTGTAGCAATCCCATTTGCACCTCATAAGAAAAACTTCTAATTCTAAAACAGAAACCACAATTTTTACTTTACCCAGTAAAAAAAAAGGAAAATAACCTCTTAATCAAACATCATTTTCTGAAATAGAATAAGACTCTGGAAAACTGTGTAATCTCCAGGTAATGTCACTGACTTACAAAAGCTTTAACTGCATCCAGCTTTCCCTCACAACATCCTAGTAAGTGTTACACAACACACATAAACCACTACATGAAAATTTCAGATTATAATTTTATCCTATCAGAAGATAAGACAGTGACATAGTATTACCAAGTTTCTGTGCTCTGATACGCTACAGCATGAATTTCACTAGCTTTATATTACTGCCATAATTTGCAAAAATAAAAGCAGAAACACTTCTGAATTTTCATGCTGCAGCTTAGATCACTGGTTCCCAAGTCACAGAATGCAAACCAAATAAAATTAAGCAATAACAACAAATTCTTGTACATAACATTGCTGTTTTGTTTATTTCACATACAAATTAGCTCAACGGGAACACATAATTGGAAAAGTTGTTGAGAAGAAAAGCAGATTCACTGTGACTTTGGTTGCAACATCACCAGAGGTAGTTGTATATTACTAAAATACTAAGGAAAAAAACAAGGGAGAGGTTTGCCTCTACAGTTTATGAATATATGCAGTTTACAGCTAATATCTGAAAAAAACCACTCAGATAAAATATTGTGCCTAGTATTTTGTAGCAACATACATGAAGAAAAAGAAAGCAACAATGGACTAGCACGTAAGTGGAAGACATGGATCCAGAAATTAGTATAGTTCCATTAAAAAAAAAGGAATTATTGTGACTATGCCAGCTGATGATCTGTCCATTAACATATTGTCTCAAGGAGCATCAGAGTTAAACTATGTACTAATACGACCAATTTTTGTTCAATAAGCTGCAAACCCACAGAAAACAACCTATACTTCAGATAATAAAACTGCAATAACAGGCGAAAGAGAAATACATGTAGTGAAAATATGCAGCAGGATAAATCAACAAAACACTCTGCTGTCCAAGCTCGGACTCATGTTTAAATATTGTTTCTGGTTTTTGATACAAAAAGACATCTGTCAGTATTTCCAGAGATGGACCATTTTAATCTAAAAAGAGGTGAAAGGCTACTAAAAACCTGCTGGCTAAGAACAGGATCTGCCAAACCTGCAGCAGAACCACGGTTTGTGTTTTATAAATACTCACTGAACTTTGCAACATAAAATAGAGTCAGTTTGCAGCCAAGCAGGAGCGCAACAAGGCTGCCAGCCAGGATCTCAGGTCCCTCAGTGACCTCACCACGTAAGCCAGCCTGTCCTCTGCCAAAACCGAAACAAGGAAGGTGACATGAGGCAAAATGGAGATGTCCTAGAACACTACTTTAGGCACACAACTTCACAAATTGACCAACTTTAAGGCGTACAGAAAAAGCTGTCAAAAATTTCGCCCTGCTGATCCCGAGTAACAGGTCTGCTTCTGGAAGCGCTGAGCCGTTGAGAGCTCCGGCAGAATTCACAGGCACGGCTGGCTGCTCAGCACCTTTGAAAAATCAGGTCACTTAGTTAAGAGTCTAAACATGGACCTGGAAACCTACTTTCAGATTCTTTTTTATTACCCTTCACACTTTTGATTTCTGCTTATGAAGCATATTCAATGCTTTCTAGGCAAACTCCCTTAAAAATTGGGATCAGTTTTACTGCCAAGATAGCAGGATTTTCCAAGCAAATTTACCTTTTTTTTTTTTGTGAGACAAGATTGATTTATTCATTTGCATGTAAATCCATTATACATACATGGTGGGGTTTTTTAACCGGTAACCACTAAAACAAAATGGGAAAATAAAACAGAGTCATAAATCAAAGAAAATTCTGATCTGGTCAAATCTCCAATGCTAACTGGAAGAGTTTTCCACACACAGAGGTATCAGAGATGCATGTTGCTATAAAGGCAACAAATTTTCAAGTTCAGTAGCTTAGTCATACTTTCAGACTTGTAAGCTAATTGAATTTTTTCTTTTAGGATACTATTCTACTGAAGAGTGTCAGTGAATCAATCAATTTGCAAGAAGTTCTCATGAATCATCATTTTCCTAAAATGTTGCATAGAAATTGTTTTAAATAATCAGTCCAAAACCATGCTGAAGTGTTTTATGAGAAGAAACAGTTTCAGTATTACTAAAGCATTTCAAACATACTGAAATGAAATTTGGACAAAGGCTTCCATTTTTTGAAAAACAATGTTGTTGAGAGTTTTATTTCTAGAGAACTTAAACATACACAACAGACATTCGGCCACCTGGCTGTGCTTGCTACAGAAGTGACCGTACTTCAGCGGCCCATGAAGAGGTTGCTGAACGCAGCACTGCACGCTGTTCCAACATGCTGTATTAAACACGAAGGGTATGTTGCTTATCTTGGGTTCAGATCACGTCCTGTAAATACAGTTTGGGGAACTGATAAATAACTTCACACATCCCTGAGTGTCTAAGAAGCAAGCTTCCATTTCATCATACTCAGAAAGAGGAAGGGAAAAGTTCATCCGACTGCAGAATAAAACTTCTGGAAGAATTTGTCCTAGGACAGCTTTACTGTATTGTTGAGACTCCAGTCTTGCACATTCTTTGTCACACAAATAGTTCATAACCCATATAAATAATTTCACTGTTACCAGTGAGACCAGTTAC